TACCAACTGAATTGCGTATTGCTGGTTGCTGAACCGCTTAGTGCCTCGTGTTAATTGCCGCACCGTTGTTGAATTTTATCGAATTTTAAATTTATTATAACGCTAATTATTTTTTAGAAATAAGCATAAAGAAGTTCAAAAAAGCAATAAACATTGTACTTTATGGCATTTTATGCACGCAGTTATGTCAATATTCCTTAATTAATCGAACTTTTGTACATCAAGTTGGAGATTTTGATATTTTTTTTTCTCGGAAATGGTTGAGTTTAGGACCCATGTTATATAAGGTTTTTTTGTTTATTTTAGTGTATTCTCGTCTGTTAAAATTAAGGGAGTCAAACTTTTCGCACCCTGTGTATTGGCAATATGTAGACCGTGACAATTGCAGCGTCAAAAATCAATACACTTCGAACTTTTATTAATAGTGTCGAAACAAGAGACTAGAGAAATATGGTATAGATTTATGGGAAATATGCCACTGGTAGGACACAGTAAAAACACGTGATCTGGTATTAGGTTACCGTAATAAGAAGAGTTCTGTTGAACCTTTCGGAATTGCTAGATATCTACGCAATCTAAAGGGTGATCCAGTCATAATGTCATTAATTTTAAGAGAAGATGGGGAAAAATAGTGGAATACGAATGCGCTATTAAAAAAAAAATGAAATTGCATATTTACGGTGAAAAAAAATATCTTCAAATCATTATTAAACCCCCTTTTCGTGCCGCTCGTGACCGCCAACCTAACTTTTAATGCATTTTTAATCTGTAGTTAACGACAAAACAAACATTTTCACTATGTTTTATAATTGAATTTTTAGTATTATGTTCAATTAATAATTCCGTTTGTAGTACGTAGTGACCCATTGCTTTTCAAAGAGTAGTATGGTCCCTACTTGTTTAAAGCGCCACTACGGCTAAAAAACACGTATCCACACTTTGTGTGTGTGTTGGGATCAGAGATATAGAGTAGGGGAGAATGAGCTTCGACGAGTGCGCATCCACTTTTCTAGGGACGCTACGGGCGCAGACATTTTGAAGGCTTTTACGTCACGCAGTGACGCAGTTGTTGTTGACGTTAGGTTCGCAGGTGTGTTTTTTGAGGTTATTCATGTTTTTGTTTGTAAATTTCGTTTTAATTGAACTTTAAATGTGTCTTGTGCTTTGTGCTGTGAAAGGAAGCGCAAATTGCAGAAGATATCCAATACAAAACATTTAGGTAGCTGTACACAAAAATAAGATATTTCCACTTTTTATTCTAAATTTTTATTGTAAACATGTAATTTTTTTATTTCTAGCTTTCTTAGAAATGAAACTTTACAGGAGTGGCTAAAGGTTCTTTCTATCGAAAAAGAAAATTGGGTATGGACAAAAAATAACGTAATTTGCTCTGAACACTTTAAAGCAGATGATTTTGTCGCCATTTGTGGAAGAAAAATAGTACGACCCAACTCTGCACCTTCCATAAAATTATTTTGTGGTGTATCTTCTTCCATTTTAAGTAAGAGTACTTTATCGAGTTCAATTAATACAGGAGCTTTGACCAACAAATTGATGTTACAATCAAGTGAATCATCTTTGACCTATAACGTTACTGAAGTTCGAGTAGGTACAACGTAAAAAGAAGAGACAACTGAATTTAAGGTAATAAAGATTTGTAATTTAAAAATAGTAGTAATGCTAAGGATGTTAAATACGTACCCTGCCAAATTGTTTGATACGGACCTAATAAATTAAGAAATAATATTTACAGTAATTTTATTTTCAGTGTTCAGAATACATCGAATGGTAACACTAGTACTGATAGTAGTGCTAAGAGAAGGAGAATTATGGCAATGAAAACATACTTTAATGGATAACTTTAATAATGAAAATATCTTTGCAGTACATCTCCTTCTACAGTTGCAACGAAAAATGTTAAACTGAAACGTAGACAAGAAACTTACCATTCAGTCTTTACGAAAAGAAATTAAGGACGGATTATTCAAGGCCCTGCATTAAGACAAAAAATTAAATAATTATTTTCAACCATCAGTAAATAAACCTGTTACGTTATACAGTGTTTTATTTTAATATACAAAATATTTAGGAACTACATCACAATTTTTTTTTATTTCATATAAATTGAGTACCTACCGCAATCTGTTAAAGTTTATCGTATCAAAAATATATTATTATTGGTGTGATTAATATTCTCTGTTGAACCTTCTGTGAAACAAGATAGCTATAACATAATTAAAGTATCATTCAATTAATTCAATGTAAAAGATAAGCACAATGTCGGAGTGTGTGCAGATTTATACATATGATAGGTAATAATATCCTATGCAGTTATGATACAACTCTAGCCGTTGTTCTTGGGTAATATAGTATTTAATATATTTTTTATGAAGTGCATATATGAAAATTTAAATTTTTATTATATAATAAATATTCAGATACCTATACCTAGAAAATTATGAAAAATAATTCATATGTAATTGAAAATTTCAAAAGTACGTATTTGTTAGTTCATATTTCATTTCAAAATTTAATGTAAAGTTATGTGCATTTCTAATTAGGAATTTTAGAACTGACCTGGTAATGTAATACAGTCTCCCCTCGTATCTAAAGACTTCAAAATGGCGACCTCCTTTATTAGCAAGTTTGCGCATCTTGACGCTCATTCTCCCTACTCCATATCTCTGGTTGGGATCCACACTTTTATTTTGAATTGTCACAACTGATTTAATAGTTGTTACACCGATGAATTATAAGTTGCCTAGAATTCTTATTGAAAATTATATTAACTGCAAGGTAAATATACCTAGTTTTGTTAAAAATAAGTAATTAATAATATACTGTTGTTCATACTGATAGACTTTTTAACCAAAATAATGCAGAAAACGCACACGCGCGTCGACGCGATGGTACATATTTTTTTTTATTATTATTTTTAACAACTCCAAAATGGTGGAGATTTCAAACGCTTCGTTTCGTTTTTATTTCGTTCACTTTACGCTAAATCGTATTTCGAATCGTATAAAAAGCGCACTGGGCCTTAATACGAGCTTATGAATAAAAAGGAAACAGATGTAGGACGAAGGAAGATTTGGGCGCGTTTTACGAGGCGCGCCCTAGATATAACGTCGGGTAAAGGAATATTTGCTTATCACAGGGCATAAACGTGATTTCTGCTATCGTTCGTTCATGATCAAGTTTGGGTATCGACGTTTTCTCAATGATGTACCCTCTAATAAATAAAAGATAAGCTAATATCACAGGAGAGCGAAGTAGGTAGTAGTTAAAATTTAGAGTGTGCTTTGCATTAAATTATCAGTTCTGCTGGAGCAGCTTGTACACATGGAACTAATCATTGGAACGAAGTTTTTCTAAATTTAATCGTATTATCATAATGCGGTATTTAAAACTTTTTAACTACATCACATAGTAGGTATAGTAGAAAGTAGGCTAAACTATGTGAAACCTTTATCTTTTATTTTTTTCATTTCAACCTCACTTAAGTCCTAAAAAAATAGTTAAGCATCTCTATTGATTCCATTGAAACTTACCGATTGCCTTCTCTACGAGTAGCTATATGAAAGCCTTCCACATACTCATACAAAAGAAAAACTGTATGTGCAATTCGAATAAGAATAGCTTTATTTAAGCACTCAAATTGCTGTACTATGTATCGACAGAATAGTGCAATTGAAGACATTAAACTCCTCTCATTACCACGTTACTGCAGCTCAAACTACCACCAAATTAGAATCCAATGCACTTAGAAGGCAATTCCGAACAGTAAATATTGATTTAAGGAACACGTACAACTGTGTTTAAAGTTTCAACGGAGTTCTGCAATTCTGCTGGGTTGTGGGTTCCTACGTTCCTAAAACATTCAGGTATGCTGGAGACACTTGTTCTAATGTAGGTATAGAACGGGCGAAAAAGGTAAAAGTATAAGGCAATTGTTTTACAAGACCATGTTTCCCGTTTGACATAAAATTCAAATGCTTAACTTTAAAATCATTTTAGTTAATTGAAATAAATTTGAATCACTAATTTATTTTTTATGATGATATTCAAAAAATGTTTTCCAAAAAAATCGTATGAAATGAAATCAAACAATGTTTTTCGATACCAAAAATCTAGTTATCACACACAAGACTCCTAACTGTTGATATTACGGGAAACATTACTCTATACTCTATGGGTTACATGCCTTAACTAATATTTAATTACGTATATTTCATTTTTAGTTTTTATTTTAGATATTTATTTATTATTAGCTCCTTACAGGCTGGTGTAATACAATTTTAGTAGGGGCATTAGGGGCATGGCATGTATGTCAATTAATATTTATTAGAATTTATTTTTTACTTTTCCCTGTCGAATTAGAAGTCACTTAAATTGACATTATCGTCTACTCGTCTATTATACAATATATCATATTGTTTTGAGAGATACAACATGAACCACATGCTACCAAATTCGACATTTGATGTTCCCGAATGCAATTATCCACATCATAATTTGGCGCAATTAACTTCAGAGCAAACTGAATTAGGCATGGGAATTGCGACCCTCAGCAAAATGTAATTAAGCTTCAATTTGATATTAATATTTATATTTATTTAAGCAGGATATTGCGCCGAATGATGTAACAGCTAGACTTAGCTTATATGCTTTATAAAAACTTAAATATTGCATGAAAAGACCGATCAACCATTTTTGAAAGGATAGTCAGAGATAATAATAATGGCACGCCATTGATATTACTTAATTTGCATATTATATAAGTTGCATATTATTCTTCTGCGACAAATAAAGGGAAAATGTCAATATTATCGTACAAAGTTGGATGGATATCCATATTCCATTCAGTACCTTTAAAAAAATATATTATATAACTACTAGCGACATCTATCAATTCCAAAAACTACTGTGCCGCCTCTCACCGTTGACGACGGAGAAATAACGCATGCGCTGGCCAATCACATTATCCCTGTTTAGTTCGCGCGACTGAGGTGTAGACGTGGACGCCATTGTTGTGTATAAACGCGATTAAAATAATTCTATGGCAGATAAATACGATTCCAACGGCGATTACGCGAGTTACACCGATAATTTTAAACGCAAGAATATGCCAGACACCGTCACAGAGAGCGTGGACGGTGACAGCGAGGAGACAAACGCGTTAAATCAGAAAGCCGGGGAGTATGTACGGGAGCTGTTGGCCGAGAAGTTATCGATCGACCAAAACAAACTTCCAAATGCCACAAGATTAATTGACCAAGGTAAAAATGTTAGCCTATTTTTGTGTTTGGTACCAGAAACAGGTGTGTTGTTGGAATCATTCGAAAGTAACGCCTCGATATATTCATTTATGACCACATAAACTAATTTACATTTGTTCGTGGGAGATTAATTTCAATAAAATATCAGGATCTTGCCTAATTAGGTGTATGTTACAGGTCTATAAGAATACAATTATAATATACGTCGCAATTTTTATTTTTAATTAATTGTTGCTCCCTATACTGGATAATAAAATGTAAGATCAACTACAGTGCTATTGCTATCGAATGGTTAAACAATAGACACTTAAAGCATTGTCGTTTTTTAAATGTTAAAAAATACCCACAATGAAAATACATATAAAGAATTGTGAAATAGAACTTCTTGAAGATATAAATCATTCGTTTGAAAAATGATTTTTTTAAGGTGCTACGGCAAAATGTTTGTTTATTGGCTAGAACTACCATGAGGTACGAGAACTTTACTCAACTCCAATCGGTATCACCACATATGTATCACGTTTGATTAGATTTAAGACTTCTCTAGATTAAAGTCATCTCATTTACTGTTGTTACATTTTTGTTTACCTTCTGTACTTCATGGTCAGATCGTATCAGCAATATACTCAAAATATATTTTAATTATAAAATTGGAAGTAAAGAACCACCATAGACATAGGTAAAATTTTATCATTATTGTTTATTAGGTATAGTGTCTGGTATATCTATCCTAGTCATATACCTTATAAACTACTGGACTCGCCCAACGCCCAACTGTCATTTTGCCTATATAAACGGTAATCGCTCAGACGTGTGCGAGAGAGATGGAGCTAGTAAGGGCTTAAGCTTCGTTCACAGAATTTCGACTGCAGCGCGCTACATTTAATTCAACCAATCAGCTAGCTATACTCGATTCCTTACCCCTTTTTTCTATTGGGCCGTATTCAAAGATTTTATAAAAATAATATAGAGCAAAAGACAAGAAAAATTCATTTTTCCAGTAGTGTAGGTATGTAAAAGTGTTTATTATTATTACTGGCCTAATGTAACAGTACAATATTTGAATTGTTTTAGCTATAATATTCCAAATGGTTTTTATAATGCCTTATTTATGTAGTTCTCCATTTATTTTCCTCATATCGTAAACTCGATCGGTTAAAATTACTGCAAGCTCGTCTGAGGTAGTTGTTTCAAATATTTCATATTTTCTTGCTTTGCAGAACTGTATAAATTCAAACTATGTCGATGCTTTCTTTGTTCAACATATGATTTGAAGAGAATTTTTGTTAAGCAAACTTTTTCGTTATATTCAATTTGATGTTAAAAAATAATTTGAATAGTAACACATTTAAAAGCCGCAAAATTTGGACGTTAAAATGACATTTTATTTTGAGGATGGGGGAAATGATGTACTCTAATATGTTATCATCGGAGACAACTCTGCTTGGTCATTATTTTCAGAAAGATGCAAAAAGTATAAACATGTTGGTACCATCATAACTTCTTTCCTACTTATGAAATTAAATTTGTTCCCCAGTTAAACGTGTCTTTATGCAATTTATCGCAGAACACGATTGCACCGTATTTAGTTTTTACGAATCTTTCACATACACTAAGTCACACAAAAATTCAAGAAATCAATCGATAATGTCAATACATGACATTTACTTCAGTTTGTTTATGGCATTTTGTAACGGTATACCCGTGTACCATCATTTGTTTTACCGGTATTTGCCTCAACCAGCTTCATCTACCTTGCACACATCAGCGCGATTGACCTCTCTTTCTAGGGCCAGTCCATCAGTCCATAGTTTACTTAGTTTACTAGGTCTATGGTCCTAGTAGCAAAATAAATCACACTTGCAGATAATTTTAGGAACAATGATTTAGACACGATTAGAAATGGTGGATATATTGAGTTTAGTTAGACTACTACTCTCCAAAAAATAATCTGATTATATAAATCTAGATATCAGCAATTAAAAATTGTTTCGAACTAATAACGACGGCGATTTAAAATTTAAAAGTTCGAATTTTTTCAAAGCCGCGTAAACAGGACTTACGAATATGAACTGTACAGAAAAATGTTTGTTTCGTCACCCTCTAAAACCCGTCAGTTCGCACTATACACACGTTATTAATAGAAAGACAAGATTTTTAAAATTTGGGACAATATGTTCATCGGAAGCGAAAAAAATTTCTTCCTTGAGTTCATTAAATCCGTAATATTATACCTACGAAGATAAAAGTTTTTTGCGATTTTACAGTAATATAATGATGAACAACATAACATAAATTAGAAATGTAACACAAAAAAAATACATTACATTGGTAACACAATCTTCATTCCATTACTTTGCCGCTGCGGACTTATCCTCAGTACTCAAAATCGTAATATTAAGTCAACAAACCAAAGAGGTTGGAACAGGTAAAGAAAAGAAAGGCTGCGATTTGGCGCATATGCTGTAATTTTCTATCTTCTATTCTATTTCTTTCTTATCTTCTGTTTCTATCTTTACAAACTTTCGAAAAATCACAACCAGGCAAGCGAACCTATCAGTTTACGCGTTTGGGATTGCTTTAGGTGTCTAATTTTTTTGTACAGAAATATTAAATATCATGTATTTTACAAAATATAATTAATAGGTATAGGTACTCTCTAATTGGAATGATCAGTATTTAACTAAAACATAATGTAATTTACCCATATTTTCATGTCAAAGTTGGATAATATGGGATTTGGCAAACAATAGTTTCTTATGAAAATATTCATAAAATATATTACGAATCGTACATTTATTTCTAAAAATAAAAAATAGTATTTATTTAATTAGAAAGAAAGAGAATGCGATTTTAATATGTATACCTCATAATCATATAACCTCGATCCATGCTGATATTACAACAACCTAGGTACTAAATACAAGCTAACTCAGGAAAAAAACGCATACCATAATGAATAGCAATAATAACCTAAATTATAAAATCATAATCGACCTCCATCATCTATCCAGAACATTACAACGTAACGACATAATCATTTGGTGAGATTGGCCAATTTGGTTGGGCAATTAAAATCCACCGATTAATCCGAATGGCTGCAATTTTTTGATCAGAACAGTTGGCTTGATGCCTGGCAATTTTTTTTATTTATTACCGAAATGAAAAGATTACCAATCAGGAATCTGTGGCCAAACATCTTTTATAGCAGCAATTCATGTGATGAATTAGTTCATTTTGGCAAAATGAAGTTTCTAAAAATTAAAAAAAAAATCGCCCAGATAAAGATTCCCGTCAGCAGTTTCCTATTTGATCTTTCCATTTTCCTGTACTGACGATCACCCTGTACACAGTGCAGTAACGTAATAAAAATTCTACCAGGAAGACTGTAGTATTTTATTTATTTTCTCGGAAAATTCCATCAAACTTTTAGAAACCTTCATATTTGATCCGCAAAGAGTTTGTGGTGTCGCCCCTTTAAATCTCGTATATCGAGTTATGAACCCGCTTCATAAACTGTCTTTCCTCCTATTTCCCAGGACCGTAATCGAGTTATATACGATGTTCATAGCCATTTCAATGTTCATTCCAGTTATTCCTGTCCTAAATTCATTAACCCAGATGCAGCTCCATAAGTATGTTCCATAAATTTTCTGATTAGTTAAAATTGCATTAGCATTTCCTAGGCAATGATTTAAATGCATTATAACTATTAACGGGGCGCTGCTATAATGCGCTAACTGATTTACGCTACTCGCAAAACAGAGTTATAGCGGTAATAATGATAGAAGATTTATTCAAACGGGGAAATATATTTCTACTATTGTTTACTCAGTGTTTCATTACGTATTTCCACATCTTTTCACCCTTCTAGAGTTCTGTGTGAAAATCGAAAAATGTTTTCTTGACGGCTACTAAGTTTTCGTCTCACAACTTCAGATTCTCTTTGATGCATGTATTAAAATTATGAATGTGCATGTAGTAAAATGCAGGGTGTCTTCTGTCAATAAGAGGATCACAAAAAAAATCGACGAAAGGTCTCCTCGGCCAAACTTATCGTATTATATGTCTTTTGGGTCGCTGAAACCGAATCTGCAAGTCATTTGGTCCCATCACGTCAGTGTTTTTTTCTAACCTCAAAAAATTGCTGAAAAATGGTAGAATTCAACAAAATCAACCCTGCAACCTATTAAAACCTTATAACTCCACATCCTTATGAGCCCGAACGAGCTCGACAAGCCTCAAAACCTCGAAGCTGAATAACCCTAAAATCCCAAAACGTCAAAACCAGGGCCGGCATTAATAAGGGTGAGGGTGGCGATCACCTCGAGCGTCACACATGAGCAGCGAGACACACTTCGAACAAAGAAGCCATTGGCCGAAACTCATAAACTTAAGCTCCCAAGCCCACATACTCTGGTCGGAGCGAGATCAATGTTTGTTACAAAGGGGATAAAGAAGCAAATGGAGCTTAGTATCAAACCTAACCTTGCAAACTCTAACACTCTCTTGTTTCACTTAGGACCTAGGGTATGAGGGTGTGGAAGCTTGGTTTCATGTGTCCCGCCAAAGGCCTGTGTGATGGAAGCGTAGATCTTGCTGCGCCCAAGGTACGTACGTTGTGCTCAGGGTATGTGGGTTTGGGATTTTGGGTTTAGGGACTCTACTGCGTAAGGTGCCCCTAGAGTATGTGGGTTCGGATGCTTAAGTTTATGAGTTTCGGCCAGTGGCTTCTTTATTCGAAGTGTGTATCTCGCTGATCATGTGTGACGCTCGAAGTGATCGCCACCCTCACCCTTATTAATGCCGGCCCTGGTTTTGAAGTTTTGGGGTTTTAGGGTTATTCAGCTTCGGGGTTTTGAGGTTTCAAATTGAGGTCTTGTCGTGTTTTCAGGTTATGGGGTTTCGGGGTTTTAGGTTGAAAGGGTTTACTATTCAAAAATGAAGGTTTGTGCCCTATGTGTAAGTTTATTCGCTGCTTATTTTGGGTTTTAGGCTCA